TATATATTTCATTTTCAGAAGGCGTGCATACTTCAGACAACTTTTGCTGTTTTTAGCTCAACGGCCTTACCTTATTTGACATCGAAACTAGATCTAGCTCAATATTACACCTTAAATATAACATTTTTCTGAAATCCGTTCGGTACTTATCGGTCGTCTCAGTAGCAGCTCAGCATATATATTCAGTTTGACTTCTAATTAAATGCTTTTCTTTCATATTGCAGATGCCATGGGTACCTTTTCTTCCTGTAAGCTCTATCGTAATTAACGCGACCCTAATGACCACACTGCAGCCACTCACCTGGGGTCGACTTGCAATTTGGCTTGCCATTGGTATATGCTACATTCAAATCATTTAAATGCTTCCTTACCGAAATGCCAAATCCCTATTGTTCGGCATGCACATGTGTAACATTAACTTAGCTTCTTGGCTAAGTTAAACATTGCACTTTATATAACAATTGCCATTCGATGCTTCGATTACAAGTTCACCTCTTGTTCAACCGTTTCACGGCAACGAGTCACAACTCGTTTAAACTTATTTACTGGGCGACCTATCGCTTAGCCGCGGTAGAAGTAGTTCCCTATTGAAATTGTCTGATTGTTCCACCGCCGCTTTTCCGCTATCTCAAGATGAAAGCCCAAAAATTAATTTCAATATTGGATCGTAAAAGACCATGTATGTGAGTCATGTTGAAACACCGACATATCCATAATTGTTTACTATTTTCTAATACTAGTAATCTCGTATCGACGATATTAGAAGCAAGTGGGGCAAAAGTCGATTGTTGTTCAAAAGTGTCACTATTTCGTGTCAACTATGTAGAGTTGAAAAAATTAACCTATTCTTAACACGTTACGAATGTCCAGCCCTTACCAAGCCAAGACTGGTCAAAGAGGGCATGTTTCTCCTGACTAAAATTAGGCTTCATAAAAATCGGTACTAAAACAACATCATCTAGATAGTGTTCTCTACCATAGTGGTTTCGTATGAATCCGATTAGTCACGTTTTATTTACTCGCTTTTGCCGGTAATAGCCAAACACTAATATACATGGATATATCTATATGTACATGTTAACAGCACAGGATCGGAGTGTATAGAGAACGATTAAGGCACTTTGTATCATAACTGTTATACGAAGTCTTCAGTTGAACAATTTGCCAAGCTGAAAAAGTTATCACAGGGCAACAAGCAGTCTTCCAATGTATTTCAGTTACAGAAGTACTGATCACGCCTTTCCATGACAATCCAAAATGCACTTCTGAATTGGCGGGTTCTATGAGACGTGCAGAGAGGTAATTAACTACGCATCGTTCTAATTCAATTACAGGTTTGACGGGCTACTTCGGATATGGCCTTCGGCACAGCAAACTCAATTAGGGCTTTCAGCACACGACCTGATCGAACATCCAAGTTCGAGATCGTCAGTAGATGGGCTCGACTTCTCCTCAGATCCGCTAGGTGTGGCGTTCAACATAAAAATAATCACATTGAAAGTATTTATTATGGCTGGGAAACGAATATCAGCAAACTCTGGGGCGGCCATTGAACATGATGTGTAAAGTTATCCGGTCAATTGAAGGCTCAAAGAAGCGAACGAAGCAGAGCCAAGACAGCGCGTCATGAACGCGGTGAAATTCTCTAGGTACAGACCGCATAGGTTAAGAGGATACTTCTTGATTAGTTAGCAGGTTCTACGCGAGATAGATAACAGTTATCGATGCTGTCGAACGAAACGAAATACAACCATGTGTTTTTTTTTAAGATTATTTGACATCCAATAGTGCCGTTGATGTTTGTATCATTTGCTTAATCTGTGTTTTTATCGGTTTTATCAACTAGACTAAGGATGGCACCTATCAAAATGTAGCGTGACGCAGAAGCGTTTGATGCGAGACACGCGTTTATCGGACTCTCCTCTCTATGAATTTCATATATACTAATCACCTATAAAAGATTTACACACAGTGGCCTGTACATTTTAATACACGTTCTAGTTTGACGAGTTGGTCGAAGTTGAAAAGTTTTAATTTTACCTTTACTTGATCAGTTTTTTGTTAGATGGTTTGCTGCTTAATTGTCTGCCTAATGCCAGTAAGATATTCTATAGAATCGCATCTTCTCAGCGATGAAGCTTTTCGCATATAGGCCTAATAGCCGCATAAACTGACTCAATCATTTGTCATCACGTGAGATTCTATCAAAGACAGAATGATTTTTTCTGTGTTTTGCGTACGATACTTCAGCCGTTGGGCATTACTTTAGACGGTTAGCCCCTAGCATGAAACGAAGTGTGTCTATGCTCGGATAGGAAGCTAGCGCGTGTCCCTACATTTAGCAAACACACACATATTAGTCAGCGCGCTATCGTAGCGAGAAAAAGCTGAAGTAGTAAAAAAACAAAACTGTATGAAGAACGTATTGAACAATCAACTGCATGGAACTGTTCAACTTAACATAAAATGTTGCTAAGCTAAAAAATGAATAACCATTTTTAAGTTTTTCAGTCGAAGAAATAGAGTAAAGAAAATAGCTAATTATCATAACGTGATGTTAATTTTACATATCTGATAGCAAACATTTAGCTTGCTAAGTTAATGAAGTTAGGAACAGCTAAATTAATGGGACTATTGGAAACTATTGGCCTTTAGTAACGTCCTTGTCAGTAATCACGTAGAAGAGAGGCTTTGGCGATACTGAACTCGTGGAACAGCCTTACTCACTGGCTAATCATTTTCACTTTGCATATATTGGCCAGTTTTTACGAATTTTCTTGAGTGGATAGAAGTGCTGAGAATATGGCCGAAAGAAATTTTAATGGCACGAAATTATTTCGAAATAATTACGGCATAGGGCCTCCAAGCAACGTAGATTTCAACAGCGTCTAAAATGAAGTTCCTTGGATGTACTTCAACTAGTATAACGAATCTCGCCAGGAAATCTCACAGGTTCATAAGGTTTGTTTGACTGTTTTTTTTTTTTTGAGATCCCGTGTACGTTAACGTGCAGTGTTGTAGATTTAGGTGAAGATGAACCTAGAGGGGAAACGAAGTGGGTGTCAGCCACGTCTAGGACTGGCAATTCAGTTCCCTCGATATATCCCTCAATATACAAATATGTAGGTCTATATTCTTTGACGTCTATGTAGTAGATATTCAGTGTAACGAAAACGCTATGAAGATGTGACCAAGCTCGTCCAGGACCTGTATATACACACGGCTTGATACATAATCACGCAAGACATAATGTAAATAAACACAAAATGCTTCATCTATTCATATCTACTATTTTACGAGGCCATTCATTGATCTAGATTCTTGTAAGGATATTTTAATACTCGAATAGGATCGGTGTTTTTTATTATTATGTTAAGTAAATCGACTGCTCATAATGAATCTCTAAGAACTATATTTACAGGTTACTATATATATTCGTACAGTAACCTAGATTAATGAACGGCCTCGTAGAATAGTAGATATGAATAAATAAAACATTTTGGCTTTATCTACATTACGTATATACATATATATAACTCAATTGCTCAAAGGCTTTGTACTAAAAGGGTCGATTGATTAATAGCAATAAACCAAACGATTGTAATCAACTTGTGAAGCAATACAAGTTAAGGATAGGAAAGACAGTTACGAAGACACGCAAATCAGGTGCCCTGAACAAAGGTTTCGCGCTTATTCTTGGAAGATGTAAGATATCAAATTTACACATAATATATATATTATCAGGCCGTACGTCCCACAACGTTTCAATGGTGTTCAGGGGCGACGTTCGTATGGAATCAACGACCTACACTAGGCACCTACAAAGCAAACGTTTGTTTATTGAACGAACTTGACTTTTGGTTGTTGTTACATTATGACATACTCTTATACTGGTTATAGGCTTTTAGTATCGGTTTTTCTGCGTGGAATAACTATGCTGATACAATTATTCTATGGAGATATAAGGCAAATAGAGTGAGATTAAATAATACTCTAGTTTGTGTTTAGATTACGCAACGCGAAGGCCGTTGTACCCTCGCAGAGTTATATTTACCTAAGCACAAACGATTATAAACGAAAATTACAATTTGAGCCGTTGTCTTGTTAGACGATATAAAAGAGATTGTTAGTAACGAAATGACAGGAATATTGCAGCTTCTAACTGGCCTTAGTTTTAATTTTTATGTTAATTACACGAAAATATGTTCTATCCAGTGTATTTGTTTTGAAAGTCATTCTAATGGATAGACGATGAAGTGTGGATAGGGCAGTTGTGTCGAATAATAACTTCGAACTGAATTTCGAAATTAGTCGTATACCAAGAAGTTGAAAAACTCAACGAAACATGTACGAATCGGAACAAACGACAAATATTTAGTAATATAAACCTGTATGCTTTAGGACAGAAGAAAGGTGCTAAATTTTAACAGGCTAATACGCAACAAATTCCAGTTTTTCGGTGATATAGCAAACGACTGTTATAGCAAAATTCACGGTGTAGCCTTAACGGTAAAGCCTAGTTTCAATAAATGTAATTTAAAGAAGATAGCTGCTCTTTAGGCACACTGTGTAACAACATTACCTTGAACCTAATTACTAAACTTTAAAACCTTTTAAAGTGTGTTTTTAACCGATGCAATAGTGCCTATTTGTCAAATACATCCATGTGTACCTAGTTCATCTTACATCATTATGTAAGCTGTTTAGTACTACTGAATACTGCATGTCAATAAACACCGTTTGTCAATCTACCCTTTTTATCCGCTAAATTAAATAATAAGTCCTAATTATACAGATTATATGATACATGAAGGTCAAATGCAAATATATATATATATATATATATATATATATATATATATATATATGTAAATTTCTGCTTTTGAATGCAGAATCGTAATATTTGGTTAGATAATAAATAGACCTATTATTATCGGGCATTTGCATCAATTGTAGCGTATTAAGTATATTAAAATTCAATACTGATCTGAGTCCTGTATCAACGTACATGAGCAAAATAAAGGTTTTTTACTATGCTACATCTTGTATTTCTATTCCATCACAAAGGTGTCAACGGCTACCTAGGAAACCATGCCAACGTATGGATACGATGCTTACTTGTGCCACAGTACGGTAAAATATTTTAATACCAGGGATCAGGTAGGCAAGTCCCGTTCCTCTCGTCCAAACAAAAGCCCACCTATTTGCTTAAAGCGCAAGGCACGTTGCTCAATTTTTTTTTTTTTCGTTTTATTGCCTAAGCCATGTCCTTTTTGTTGTTAAAAATGTTGCTTAAACAGTAGAAAATAATAGCTAGGAGAAAAAATCATGAAGCCCTAACTAGAGAAAGAAAATTTTTAGTAAATAATCCTAAAAAAAGAAGTGTGTTAGGTAACAAAGAGCCTAAAGTTTATCCGGGGTGACTAAATTGATTTTCGGTACGCTACGTATTAGGCACAGAAGACTTATTTTATGGTGTACATATGATGTATATTCATTTTGCTACAGATAATCAAACTGGGGATAGGTTTACTGCGATATACTCAGCAATCGGACAGCGCATTGTATACAGATCGAGCCACATTTACCCCAAAACATATTATCAATATTCGTTGTGGCCGACTTTCGGAAATAATGGAATAATACTCTGTATGCATATCCATTTTAACTCTCTTTTCTTCTTATTGTTCTGCCTCCTCCCTCAACAACAACAACGACTACTACTACTACTACGAGCCAATTGTTGGGTGGGCCTCATAGTAGGAGAAATTCTAATATAATCTAGTGCCAATTTCCGTATCTGTTAAGATCATTTTTGCATGTTCGATGATAAATATGGCTAAGCGGAAGCATACGATTGTCGTTCGTTATGTTACTGCGTCCAGGCCGGGTTTTGGTGAGCGCTCGTCTCTCCCGTCTGTAAGCCGCCCTCGTACAGGAATGTTTTGAACCAAGCCGTAAAAATTCGTTCATGAAGTTCTATGTGGACACATGGCTACGGCCGAAAACAGATTCAGTGCAACAGTAACTAAATTTAATAACATAATAATAATAACAACAATAAATAAGTGTTCAGGTTATTATTTGCCCTGAATAAAACTAACTGATACTAGTGAATGTTTTCAGTGTTTACGACGGAGTGCGTTGATTATGTCGTTCATATGAGGTTAGTAAACTTCTGTGTAAACTTAAAAAAGTGGGTTAGCAACTTTTCATATGTTGCAAGAGGCTCGTCAGCTGTTACATGTAACGTCAGTTCGAGATTTCATTATTGACATTATGTTATGCAAAACAACAACTGTATGTATGTATGTATGTATGTGTTAACTTCACAGTGCAATAGAAGTTCCGCTAGCTAAACTCCTCCTTCTTATTCCTTCTGCAACAAATTTGATTTTTGCAATAAAATTAACGGGAACGAAAGTCTTCAACGTTAGTCTTGGTTAACATTATCCACACAATATAACTTGCTACCTAAAGGGAAAAATGTCCCTCTTTTATTATTCAAATTTTTGTTCCCTTTCTACCTTTAAAGGCATAGTATCTAACTTTCTTCACTTGACTGCAATTTATTCTAATGTATGTGTATAAATTTTACAGAGTACTAACGAAATAATACATCGTATAATAATTTAGTGATCTCCCTTCTCCAACTAACAAGGCTAATGTCTGTATCATTAAGGGATTTTTTCAAACAAATATATATATATATATATACATATATTTGGCAAACGGTTCGTAAAGGATGTTATTTCTAATAAGATTCCTTAATTTATATCTGGTCTGAGCATTAAAAGATCTACCTCCTATTGTACCTATGGAACGGGAACACTCATTTTTTATGGTCAGTTTGTGGTTGGGGATTCCAAAGACAACGTATATTAAATATTTGCATGCCACACACCGCGTCTTTAATCGGTTGCTCCGGTTAAATACGGTTCTCTACGAAACCCAGTATTTGGATAGCGCGACTTAGCAAATAGTGGGACATAGGAATCAAGATGTGCAATAATATCGATAATTCGGATACCCGGTAATATCGATAGAATCAATCGTTGCTATTTCACTACTGAATACCTTTTTAGTTTATAAATGGCGTGTTTATTATGTTTCATCCAAGCCAAACGCTTTGATCTTTCGTTGTGTGAGTGTGCATGTGATTCCAGTTATCAGCATCTTATTTAGACTTTTCCGCTCTGCGTGTGTAATTAACGTTAAACGAGTAAAAGATTTAAGATTAATGAAAATATGTATGCTTTATTTTACATAATCTTCTTCGTGTTTGTTGTATTCGTTGATTCTCGTATTATTTACTTCTTACAGGCGCAATATTGCGACCCTGTGAAGACAAAAGGCGATGCTGCACGAGCTTTTCGAAACAGTATTGTCAAGGCAGGAACTTTCGCGCGCTGGTGAGCTTTTTTCCCTCGAAGACCATGAGGTAGGAAATCATCTTCAGTAAAACTGGCTTCTATAGTAACTGACCGCAGATATTATTCGTTAAACATAAAGCCATGATGTGCTTTTAGTGGCATTTGAATAGTTCTTACGTTCGAAAGTGTGAAGTGTTGTAGAAGCCCTTTGAGTGAGCTGTGTTTACTTGTGGTGAATCCTTTGCGATGTCTATGGTAGGTATTTTAGCAGGTGACTAAAGCGATGCCTTGTGGGACTTTTTGTTTCCTGCTATAGAAATTAGGTTAATTGTACAACTAAAACAGAGTTACTTTGAAACAGTATCAAACTAGTAACATGAGAGCGCCGTCTAAGTTTGAACTAGTTGATACGATCTGTCGAACCTCTTCATAGTAGGCTGATGCGTAAGATTCCGTCGGACGATGTAAACTAGTATAAACTTAATCGTTTTTGAGCTTCAAACCCACTGATATTTATACATAGATATTAGTTGCTCGTTAATATTACAGGTGCTTCCTTGTGCTGCTGATGTCCTGTGTCGTATTCGCGAAGCGGTATCACGTCAAAGTTACGCTGGCGATGATAACGCACAGAGCGTTGTCGAAATTTGCCTTACTAGGGTACTTACGGCTATCAGGTAGGGTACAAATTTTGCGCCGGCGCATAGTACGCGGCTGAACTTACCTCAATTAGAAATATAGAGTAACACTAACAAGTCATAATGTTTCATTGAACAGAAAAAACACGGACTATTTTTCTTAGGACGATGAACCGATAAAAGTTCAAATAAGCCGCTAAGGTTTAACTACCGATAACAAACGCTGATGTGGGCGTTGCTTTTTATGTGAAACGTGTGTGAATACTATTAAGAGCTGTAGCTTTCTCCTATTTTCTAGTAGAAGTTACACTTTTTTAATGCAGATCAACTTTATTTAATCGCCAATTCGTTGCGTGGCACAATTTTTCGAAATTCGTGACACGTTGCGTTTATGACCACTGATGGGCGATCGATTAGAACAAGACCATAAAAATTGACTAGTAACTATACGAATTCATGATTTATCTTCCCCTAAATAACTTGCTATGTAAAAGATTGTCTACGATGAAAAAACGTATCTCCAGGATATAGACAGTGCACAGTTGTTGCCTGCATAACTTTTAAATATACAGAAAGTTCTCTGCCGTGACTGATTATTATTAGAAGCGGCTTCTTTAACTGTTGAACGCATAATCTCTGATCATGTAAAAGCAGAACCATTAGATAGCTTGTTAGTAACCAGATTGTCATCCTTGCTCAGGGACGGGCGCTGTGTTGAGCAGTATTGCGGCGAGCTGGTCAGCTTACTGGAAGCATGCCTTCAGCATGAACTTAGCCCCCGTGCACGGAGGAGCGAGCATCCACCTCACGCCAAAGTCGCTGCTGACGTTATGAGCTGCATATTTCTGGTAAATATCGATTACAGTTAATTACAGGGATGACAAACTACAAAAAAATGGGCTTAACAAAAATAAGCAGTGCAACCGATGCGTCTCCGAGGAACTTGTAATGGATTCATGCCACTAGAACATCCCAGTCTAGACACACAGCTATTCTCTTTTTTTTTCCGTCAGCATCAGCCGAGCTCGAGAGCTTTGACATCACGGAGTGTTGGGGCGACTGTCCGATTCTTACATAGAGGTAACCGCGAGTTAGCTCGATCGGTAACTAGACATCTCTGTCTTGCGGCTTCACAGAACGCTGATCTACTTGTGCCTCATGTACAACCCGTCGTAGATTCTATTATTGCAGGTAAGATTTGAGCATATTGCCGTCGTCGAATTGTGGTCTTGAACCATATCGCTCACGAGATTCATGGTCGAGCTTATACGTCGATAGTAAATCTTATGTAATATATTAAGCACATTTTGAACTACTTATAGGAAACTATGCGCTATGTAAGGTGTTGCCTTCGATCTACGCCCTCCGCCATCGGGAGCCAGCTATAACTGATCACTTGCTTGCCCTGTTCTCGTTGTTGCCACAATGTGAAAAAGCAGAACGTCTTTCACTTCTGACACTATTTGAGCTGATGGCAAAGAGTGATGCCAATGTAAGTTTTGTGTGTGAACTAAAGCAATGATCTGAAAACATTAGAAAAATATCACAAAAAATCACTGGGAAGCAGCGAATTCATGAGCGAAAATTGACGAGAAAAAGCGAATATGTCATTAGCATCTGGCTAGGGGTAGCTTCCTTGTCTCGGCAGATTTCCAGATCTGGCTTGTGTTAAAAGCACACGGGGCGAAAGGCATTATGTCGACGCTTAGCTTTCAAGTATTATAGGTTGTATAATTCCACTGGAGAAAATCTAGCTAGTCGTCATCACTGAGTGTACGGGTCTGATATTACAGCTTCTTGACGGTAACCTATCACAGCTCACAGCGTACTTAAACGAAGAAAACACAGCTCCGAGTGTCCTGCGAATCTTCATTGAAGTCTCTAATTCCGAACCACAACTACTCGTGGATTTGTTGCCGAAGGTTAGTTGAATTATATTCTGATAATACTGAACACTGGAATGTTCCCTACGTCTTACTTACGCCTTGTTAACTTTACTTCCGCAATACAGGTTCAGCAAGCATCACTAGGAAAGCCTCATCTGACTGCGTTAACATCGAGACTTTACGCAAATGTTGCAAACACTAATAGGGTATGTTTACCCTATTTATGTTTAGAGAAGTTGTTTGCTAAAAGACATCGCGGAATATACAATTGTTAGAGAAGCGTCCGAATGATCAATATCCAGTACAGCGATCGTACTAGTATTAGTCAGGCCCAAAAAAGTGTTTACATTCACGAGGCTGTGATTGAGTACTAAACTTGGCAGTAAACAATTAAACTTGAATAAGATAAAATGAAACAAAGTAGGAACTTGTGATAACGGTCTTCTCTTGTGTGTTCTCTCCATAGGATATGGCACGACTTAGCTTAGATTTATTGTCTCTCCTTCTCAGCGACGCGAGCGCTTCCCCCGGAGCGCAAGTTGCGATTCTACGGGAAATAAAATCGATTCTGGATTCGACCAGTGCATCACTGTCGTCTCTAGCATTAGACAAAATCAATCAACTTCACGCTGATCCCTCGTCCCCTTCAATGATACAATTCTATCTCCAGCAGATCAGACGACAACAAGGCAGCCTTAGAGATATACAGGTATACTCCACCGGTCATTGGAGTCTATATAGCAGAACAGCGCTGGTAACGAGACATTTAATCGATTAATTGAGAGATGTACTATTTACTTGCTTGAGATCTTTTTCCCATTCGTTAAGGTAGTAGGCGTTTGAAGATCGATGCAGATCTTCTTCGAGGATTATATCATGGACCTTCCTCGATTTATTTGTCGCGCTCGACAGTCAGTAAATCTGTCTTGATGTACGTCTTATCTACATCGTAATTGACGGGTATCGAGTTCCCCGTATCGAGATTCTTGTATTGTTGTAACACATGGTAATGATTTATGCCGGTTTGTCGAAAATATTAGAGGTATTTGGGATTTTCTATACATAGTCAGTATGCTTATAGTCGTTAAATTTCTCGCAATAATGCTTTGTATACAGTTTCCAGATTTGATTTATGTGAGAGCTTATTGCATAACCGGTTTGAAATTTAGAATGCTTTTGGTCTTCGTGGTGTGGTTATGTCTGTTAGAAGTATATATCTGTCTCTCTCTCTCTCTCTCTCTCTCTCTCTCTCTCTCTAAAGAAATCTCTGTAGAAGATACAGTGGCTTTTATTTTTGGGAAATAGCGAATACCCATTAAAAGTTGAGTTCAGTTGAGATCGGCGCTTGGCTTGTCGTTTTGGACTATACTTCGAGTGTTTCTATTTTTTTCTTCCTGAAGCTTTCAGAATGATATGAAGCCATTAATCGGTGATGTACTCCTCTTTGAGGAAAAATAGTGGAAAGATTTACTAATGAACCGTGGATTATTACTGTTTATTAGGATGTTCTATTATTGTACGATGGCCTCTACGACTTTTGGCCTTTTCTTTTCTTTAACTTTCTACGGACCGGTATAATCTGTGCTAGTTCGTGTGAGAGGAACATGTGACTCTGCTCAGACGTGTACCTTTGTTTTCGGAGGATTATTCAAGTAAATCTCATAATTTAGGTTTACCTAGTTAATATTTCCATCGATGATTGCTGTATTTTTTTTGTTGCGATTTTTTCTGATATGGGCCCCGAAGAGCCCAATGTGTAGTTCATCTACATTTTATTCGCGGCGGGTCCTGGAAACAAGTCCTGTCTCTATGGCCAACAACAATCAACAAAATCGACAACTGAAAATTCACTGTTGTGTGTTATGTCCGCCTAAATAGATATTCAAAACAAATCAAGCAAAACGTAACTTGCTTCGTTTGTTTTGCGGAGACTGATGTCAAGTCGAAGCTAAAGGTGCAAAAAAATATTGATTTTATCAATGATATATATTAGTGGTAGATTTCTTAGAGAAACATGAAAACAAGCCTGTGTTGGCATGTTCATTCAACTTCTATAGCATAGCAAAATTGAAATAAGTAGATGGTGAATCTTTGTAGACATACTGAGCTAAATGAGGGTGTAGTTTTGCTCCAAACAAGTATTGTTGAAAGGGGCTTATTATTAGTTATGAGTACGAATCTGTTTCCGTATACTGAATTTCTCGATCGTCTTCTGTATTAACAAACCTTCATTATTGCTTTCTGTTTATGTTGAGCCTTGACAACTCTAGAATAGAAGGCCATGGAACGTTCGATTCTGCTAGGAAATAGATGACATGAGACAGCAGTAGCAGTACCTACCGCGGAAGGTGATGCATAAATTGTTCCAAATTAGTACTTTGAAGAGGTCAAATATTTAATCTCATACAAAAGCTTTCCTATCTGAATGCGTCTTTACATTTATCAAGCTGTACGAGCATCCGATTCATCTGCAATAATTCATTAAGTGGCTTTTCGACGTCCAGAAACTCTGGTTTAAGTTAAGAGTAATATAAAAGTATCCCATGAAATAGTCGTTAACTTAGACATACTCTTCGCGGCCGAGGCCTCGATTGCTGCGGAAATTTTATCTAGATATCTGTTGAAAGTAAAGCCACGAACTTGACCTACGTTTTGTCCTGTTGAATCTCAGATCGTAATCGTCCGGCCTATGAGGAACGGCTTCGACACGTTCTAAATATTTTTCATACTGAACCCCAGCAATCAGCATGTTGTCTTGGCATTCGACGACTCCTGGTATATACTATATCAATTGTTATTTTGTCAACTTTTGCGCCGACTTAAAGACCTCGACAGTTCTGTTTCTTTTTTAAATTTGTATGTATTCATTTTATTTTTTGTGGGCAATCATTGGTCGATATTTTTGAGATTCATATTAGATCACTGGTATATGTGCGCTGATTTTAAGTCCATGTTTCTGTAGAGTTTGCTGTTGCCAGCTTGTACCCCAGGCCAAGGAGGTCAGACATATGCATCTATTGATTGATGCCGTCCTTGAGATCTACAAAGAGACACACAGTGTTGCTTTACAGAATATAGATTCATTAATCCTGTCCATTAATCAGTCCTCAATACTCTTTTTTTTTTTGTTAGTTTCGTCCTCAAGTGTATTTGCCGTCTAACTTTGATGTAGAGAAGAGTACCAGAGTTTGGGCCTATGCATAAAGCTTGTGTTGATTGCGAATGATTTAGGGAATTCAACGATTTATGGGGGTTGATTTTTTTTTTTGAATTTTAGCAAATATCTGTTAATTCTGCTTAATTTATCATCGTTACGGCATGGCCACATTAAGCATTAATCTTTAGGTTTCAAAGCCAACTTCTGTAAATGTGAGGTAAAGGCTCAGCGTCTTAGTTTTACCATATTTATTATCCACACTTACAAGTTTAATCTGATTACACGTCAAAAAAAAAATCGAATATCTGCGAGTTTGAAATGCTTATAATTATAAAGCCCTTTCTCAAGTTGGTGTGCTGATATAACGGATAATTTTCATTATTATAAAAACTTGGTCATGGGAGCTTTAATGGTACCCTCCTTCGCTTTCCCAACTAAGTGAAGACCATTAATAGCCACGTTTACCGCCGTTGACACTCAAATGGTATGGCTCGAGCCCTACCATTTGAGTGTCAACGTATTCATCAAGTCGCTTTCTTTTTCGGCGCGATATGGCAGTAAAAACTGCGAATTTTCGAGGCAGCATCATTGGGTTTTGTTCTCCACGATGTCCGGATGCAAACTTCCCTTGATTCCTTGGGCTGCTTTTTGTGCCAATTTTAGAAACTAATATCGTTTTGTTGGAAAGATAGGATTGTTGTTATTAAGGTATGCTTAAAATGTATCTCACATTGAATCACGATATTTATTGCATCTTCTAATTTGTTGATTTGATTTACTTGTTGGGATACTGTCTACCTACTAGTGCCCTTGTAGGCAAGCCTCTGGCACGTTACCTTCTCGGTTAAGTATTACGTTATGTACTATAACCTGATTTTTCTATGCTCAATATATTTGTCTAGCGCTGATTTTGTGAGTATTTAACTATCTATAGTTTTTAGGATGAACGTGAAGCTGCAATTTCTTATATGCAAAAAATGTGTTATTAGTTATTCATCATTTGGTACACTGCGATAGGTTACGTAGTTAGCGAGTCTTTCTCTATTATCGACTTATTGTTGTTATTATTATTATTAAATATAATTATTGTTATTCGATGGCCTTCTTCTGTCTCCTACCCTTATTGTCAAGTTATTTTTTCGTTCCATTCGTCGCCAGAATTGAACTTTCCAACCATATATAGGGCTACGTCGACAGTTCGCTATAATCCAGATGACCAATTGACTCTTTTCTGTATTCGACTTTTGCACCCTTTCTCTTTTATTTGACGATCCTCCAAGTGGCCGTTTTCGTCACTTTCTATCGTAACCAACTGCCGATTGGCGCAAGTGCAAAGAACGTCTGTGAACTCTTGAGCAGCGCTTTCTATGACACCTGTTTTTTTTTTATGTTACAATAATACGTGTCAATAGCAGAGAAGATAGTTTCAATTCATTTTTTTAATCAATGTAATTTTTTCTCTGAAGGCCCACTCTCAGCATTCGCAGCAGTTTTTGCCGCACAGTACTAGCTTACATCAGGGATTAACGGCGGCTCTTGGAAGTCCAGTTCAGGCGTACCATGGACCACCAGGGTCGAATATAGGCTATCACAATCTGGTGGGGCCTGGCGGATATAGCCGTGTATCGCACACGCTTCCATCAGGCGCCACCCTATCCGCGTGTGCTTCAACATCAACATCCGCTACTTCAACACCCAATGGCGGCGGATCTGGTTCTCAACAGCAACTATTTGGTTCTTCACGGCCCTCTCTAACTTCTAGCCATACCGGCCTCGGGGGACCTTCTGCAACTACTCACCTATTCAATGGTTCTTTGCAAACACTCGGTTTGGCATTGCGTAACAATACATCTGCAACAGCTGCGCCTTCTAATACTGCGTCTGGCACTGGCCATGTTGGGCATACTACTCACGTGCAACATGCCCCTATCCACCGTTCGTTGGGTGCTCTCGGGAGCAGAGCTGTGCTCTATGCGACCAATGGAAATGGTCATAGTGGCCTAAAAGGCAGTGGAAATAGACTAGGGGTAGGTTTATCTCATGGCGGAACTGTTGTTGGATCGGGAGCGTCGTCCGCTCGAAGCGCTTCTGCATCCATCTCTGTTTTGGTTGAGGAGTCTCTATTAGATAGCGTAGTAGCCAAAGACAGCCTTGGGGAACCAGGTACGTTTGGTGGAGTCGGAAAAGGCGGAAATAACGGTGGACAGGCTCTACCGCGCAGGCCACTTACTGATAAGCAAGCTGGATCAGGCTTTCAGCTTCGAGTATCCACGTTTGGCCGTAATCGATTGTGCAGTAACAACAATAATAACAATATCATAACAGCGGATAGTAAAGGACCAGATCGTGAAACCGACGATGAAGATGGGGTCGAGAGTCCAACGAATGAAAAGTCGCGCCTCGTGACAACATCTGGCCTAGGGACAGGTGGTGTGCCCTTTGAACCACTTCGGGATGCAGTTCAACACTTCAGTGAGAAACATCTAGATAAAATTCGTGCGTTCATGGCTGGTGTATTTGCTCGCCTTCCCTTGCCTCTGAAGTGCACGATCGAGGAACGCCATAGCGGCAAAAAATACGCCAAACTACATTTCGGCTGTCAAGGTAAGCTTTGGCCATTGATGCCTTTCGATAATACGTTTTATATCGGATTTTTGCATACACGTAACATTAGGTAGTTTGATTATGGTAAACATGTACTTATAGTCTAGCTAAAACATAAGCTTTTGTTTGCATTATGCAACATATAATTTCAAGCTCGAAACTGTACATACGATACGATGCTTTGCATAATCAAAGTTTGATTGATTAGCTCTTAATAAATTCAAACTGGACCGCGCAATAGCATTGCTACGAAAAAAATACTTGCACGTCTCTGTGCCACTCGATATGAAGGGTCATACGCATCGGCTCCCAGGTTATTACTGTAGAGTTTAAATCGAATCACTTTGGGATTTTATTATTGAAGCTTATTCGATATGAAGATTCCAAAGCAAAAAATAGAGCCCCGATTGTGGGTTTTAGAGTGACAATCATCAACGGTGACAGTCTACTTGACTCTACTAAACACCTCTACTTTTAGGTAAGGGAGGCAATTGTCTCTATGACCGAACATTGTTTGCCTCGAAAACGAAACATCCTCGGTTATGGATACACCTTATGTTCCTCGCTGTTCAAGCAAGGTCTCCTTTAGCCCTGGGCCAACGAGACCCCTCTCTAGCAGCTCTTCGACACTGCTGGGATTCATTACGACCTGCCGATGGACGCAGTTTTCTTGCTTTGGTAACGTCGGCATTTCCCTCTGCGAAGGTAAATTTCTAATACGTTACTCTTGAAACGTATGTACGATAGTTGTGTTTCATTCATGTTTTTCATCCCTCAATCCAATTGGGTAAGGTCGCGAAGAAAACAGAACTACGCAAGTAGTAGCGCATAGGATAAGCGCTAGCTAAATCGTTTGCACCCGATTGTACACTAAGTAGAATAACTTAAATGACAATTTAGAACAGACGTTAACTAACTAAATGAGTGGTTTCTATTCACAGGATATGGAATGTCTCATGAACGAACTACGCAGCCGTCGCTTCCTTGACGTATTCGAATATAACGGGGCCCTTCAAATGTGGGCGTGCTTCTTGTGCAATCATCCTGACCGCGCTCACGGGTTTCTGCAGGTGTACAGCAGCTCCGCAGGATGATTCTTAAATTAATAGTTTACTGTCTTTTCAAATAAACGGTGATCAGCAATAACAAACAAGCCATCGAAAGTGCATGCAGGCTCTCTTATTTGTGCGAACCACCCGGGTCACGGCAAAACTTCTGGCGCTTGAATTAATATTTCATGTCTGATCGGAGTTCTTTATAATATTATACATTTCTGTGTGTATCTTCCAGGAGAGTCTTCCTGTCATCGAAGGGCAGTTAAAAGAGAAGCGACGTCGTTGGAAATTGTTCCGGCAATGGAGGACAAAGTATTTCACGTTATCGGGTGCTAATTTATCCTGCAGAGAGCTGGTACGTCGTATGCTACAAATAAACTCGACTAAAAACAGTTATACGTGAAACAGCTAAAATATGTGTTTCTAGGACATGCACATAAGAGCAAACTTCTCATACTGGTCATTGTTTCGCATCTCGTTCTTTCATGTGCTAATAGAGCTCTGATAGTAAAGAGCAGTCTATCGGTGAAGTACAATCAGTGCGGGCAATTCAAGGTCGTAACCGACACATTCCCAAGGCATTCGAGATTTTCACTGCAGACGATAAAGCATTCGTTCTGAAGGCAGCTAGCAGACGACACACAGAGGAGTGGGTGCAATGTCTTAGCATCGCTTTGGCCCGGACGCACGCGTCTGCTGGCCAACCCGGAGGGCAATCTTTGCCAGCTGTACAGAACGTGACAGCTTTCAGTTGCAGCGGACAACAACAGGGCAGTCTGAGCACTTTGGTCCATCAGCATCAGAATGACCGTGATCTTCAAGGATTTCGCGACAATAATAAGGATCATCGCAGTGGCCGAGATCATCGAGACTGTCCATCTGACCACCAAGCAGGCATGAGTCAGGTGCATCAAGTACAAACAATTAACAAGGCACCCCAAGTCGGAGTTTTACAAACACATCAAATCACTCAGCGACTTTAAATATTTCAGTAAGCGATTTTTGTATTACGCAAAAAGATGGTATTACTACATGCAATTGAAGTCGCTTGTGTGACTACAGTGAGTCTTCTAAAATCTGCAGATAAGCCGTGGCTTATACCTCATCTGTACACAAACGTAAACGTATTTATATTTCAGACGTGTTTATGTTCGAGAATGATTCGTAAATCTGTTTTATTCAGAACCGCTCCGTTGTCTGTATTGAGATCAAATGATGCATTTCTACGGCTGCAGCTTTATCCATTTATATGTGTGTAGGAAGAAACGGTTAACGATGCCGACCTCCTAGGGATCGACCTGTAAATCGCGATGCCTCCCATCGTTCGGTAGTCATAGTTTAAGCTTAGCCAAAACCGAAATCCAGTTTTCAAGTTCTGCTTACCGTGCAATTACATTTGGGTTTATAGCATATATTTCCTTCCCGTACAATATTGGAGCTGGCCCCACTGCGCTTTGGTGGCCGCATTAGCCCTAGGAGGCTTCGATTCAAAGTTTTAATCGATATACACTGACATACGTGCGAATTATGGTATTAAAGTTGTTTTTTGAGTTCCAGTCTAAGCTTTCTGCGCGACCACCGCGTTTGGCTAAGGCTTTTTCTAAAAAACCCCAGTCGTTTGATTTCGACGATAATAGATGAAGGAAAGGCTGACGATGCCGATTCGTCTCACATAATCATAAGGTCCGGGATCTGGTCGGTTGTCTTCTTTCTGACTGAGCACATAAAAAAGCCGTAGTAAATTCTTTGGCGCCTAAAGTATCGTGCATTCTCTAATTTAAGCTACTGTGCGGCAGCGAAATAGTAAAGAGACGCTTTTTTAATAGCTAGCTATAATTTTATAGTTGCTAATAGTAGATTTGCACTAAAGGAACGCGGAGGTCAAAACGGGAGACGCCAGTAGCAATTGATTACTACCCAGTCCAGCTTAGGTCGAAGGTAGACCCAGCTTAATCTCTACCGTAGGAACTGGAGCTAACCTGTTTTAGCGCATAAACATTGAAGGAGCAATGAACAACGAAAATTATGCTCAACACCCACAGGGCTGTACGAAGTAACTTGGGTGAACGCGTGACATCTTCATATAGCTAACGTAGCAGAAAAAGTAAAGTCAAATCTAGTGCCATATATATGGTCTTTTCAAGATTTTGATTGCTTTAACATAGTTGCTATCTCCAAAATGACGAGCGGCGGGCGTCTTTTAAACGTAAACGAATGCCCTGAAGGTAGATCTTTAATAAACTGCGGCACTTTTGTAAATCTCACATTTGCAGTGATTCATCACAGAAACATGTTACGTAGACTAATGGTGATCATCGCGTATTGTAGGAAGATGGATTCGCAGACCAACAAACATTTCGATGGCTTTGGTGCACAGCCACTCAACTTAAATTCTTATCCAAAAACACCCAATATACATCGGTAGTCACATGTGTCCCCTTGTGGTTGTATAGTTATGTTATGAGAAGCTTCTTCGTTGTCCTTGTAAGTGAATTTTACGATAATTTCGACAACGATAGTTATCAATGTACCTAAGTGACTAATATAGATGTTAGCTTTAGCTCAATGGATGAGCTCATAACCTTTGAATTCTCATAAAGGGGCGAAATTTTTTCTGATTTTCTGAGATTTTTTAGCAGTATCTATCATGAGCATAATTTTTAGCCAACCGGAAAAGCTATCACTCACCCTATACCGGCTTTGCTACGATTACCTGTGGCTGAATTGGTTACGCAGATAGTATTGCTCCATCGGCGTTCTTTAAATGCGCGTTAACATAACACTGCTACGTATTCGTCTATCATAAACATAAATTGAAGGTTTACCCTGCCTCTCTCGCTATATATATCTTGAAGTGAACTTGAATATAATCGTAAAAAGGAAGACAAGATGAATTAAGTATACAATAGAGCGGTCGATGCATATAACTTTAATGAAATAGCAATTGATTCGGCGGCTCGTCTATTTCCGATTGATGAGTAAACGTTGAGGATTACAGCGTTTGTCTAGACGGAGAATCAAGTTTAGTGGAAAAATTTCTCGCACCGAGGTTTAACGTCGCCCTGGCCGTCGCTGTCGCCGCCGCCGTCGCCGTCGCCGTCGTTGTCGTCGTCTGGGTGACGTAAAACTGGCCGACGTCGTATTGCCGCGATAGCCATTAATTCATAGCCACTTCACAATATACTATCATACACCCGCAATGTGTATTGTCAACTCTAAAGTGTCAATCAATTAACGCCATTTTATAAGACGTAATGAAAATCTGCGTTTCGGATACTATTCTCACTTGATTTGGCAAGGCCTGTCAAGCTACTAGTAATTTATTCTTTCTTGAATATTAGAGATAGTGGGAACAGATCAACAAGTGAGATAGTATGAGCATGTATTAATCAAGTGCGTACAGCTTAGGTATGGAGAAGATCATTGACTGAACTCGGTGCTGATCACAGGCACTTTGTAACTAAATCTGTCGAAACGGCATTGGTGGTGAACCGTTATTGATATATTTGTAATAATAAATTTTATATTTGTTACATGTGTGATTATTGTGGGTTTTGTTTTTTGTTTAGGCATATTAGACTTTCTTTGTTGTTTTCATTAAGGCTTTAAGCGGCTTCAGATTTGGAAGCCACCAACTGACACAGTCTAGTGTAAGGCACCGTAATGGCTTTTTGCGTTTGCAGCATCACCGTTCTCTGAGGCATCTTTATTAAGTGTTGTTTGTTCTTGCTTAGCCCTACACTTTTGGGCACAGTTCTCTATAGTTATAAGCGAACCTTGTAATCCGACGATTAGGCCTAGTTGAGCAACGTTGATTGATACACCAATCGTATAATTGAAAACCTGCAGCATCCAGCCAGCAAAGATACTCCCGAGAAGATTTCCTATAGCCACAGAAGGTTCCATCAAACCGGTTACAATTGCCAGCGCCTCCTTTGACTCTCGTCCTTTGTCGATAATATGTACCTATTAAGAGATGATGCCAATAGAAAAACGTACTTCAGTTCCCTCTAATCAGTCAAATTTCAGTTTGAAAAGAACGTGTATTTAATGCTAGTTTTTTATATTTATATAGCCATCATAAATGCTTGCGACGAGCACAGTACTAAATAGTCCATGTGGGTTCATCACATGGACCCTTTAATCTGATCTATCTCATTGACTTTTTAAGGTTGGCTTAGATTATTTCAGTATATTTCCCAGTTCTTGTTGGTGAGAAGTTCCTTCATCATAGGAACAAAGGAAATTTTTACCGAATGCAGATATGAACAGACGAACGCTGGGCCAAGCCCCAGTCCGAAGCCCGCTTGGCAAAGAAGAAGAACCGGAAGACTAGGCCATACAGTCATCACAGGGCCCAGGCCGATCATTGATGCAATGGATAAAACTGACCCACCAATAATAATAATCCGGGGATCTGAGAAGCGTTTGATCTGTGAATGTTGATGAAAGCACAGTAACATATAACACGTAAGGTAAATGTACATTTCAGGATAATCAAGTTGAATTTTATGTACGCTATAATGTGTCCTTCAGAAAACGGCACGGTATTTTGAAAATGTACTATTGTCTCGCCGAAATCGCCATAAGTAACGATCTCCAACTCGACCCGGGCCGAAACAGTCCCTCTTTGTCGAGCAGGAAGGTTACATGCGCATGCATTCAGCTTGAATAAAGCACAGTGAACTGTTATAACTTTTAGTGAGAAAGGGCGTCACATCGCGACAAAGCTGTCCAATGGAGCCCCAAAACATTTAATTTGTTCTAGCGTATTCAGTGGAAAAAGAAATTTATACCACATTTGGTATATATTTGCATCGAGCCTTTACTTTTTTATGAATTATTTTTTCCCATTGACGTATATAGTGAATTTAGAAAGTAAGATCATCTTTAGTCCAATTAATAAATAAGTTACCAATTAGTGATCAGGTCTTTGTGGTGCAATCCATTGAACTTTTCGGAACTCACTGGATAAGGTGACGCTCAGATAAACGGTGTTTTGTTACAGATGCAGCTGGAATTCTGGATCTCAAACGGACCACGGAAGCTTTAAGGCACACCAACACATGGACGATTCGCTCTTCGTCAGCTTAATATAAGCTCTGTTAGCGAACGTGTTATGAGATTGTGACAAAAGCACTGAGGAACAGAAGGCAGCACATGCTTTTTCATACACTGGGTCTGAGGTAGATGGAAACGTGTGTCACTTTGCGCAGCTTTCACCAGGAGCACACTGCCGCCATAGGCAAGAAGTGCCCGTGATCGCAGTAATTTCAGCGCTCCGGTTGCCGTTCTTAGAATGATTGCATCAGTAACAAACCATTGTTTTTCTATAACGCCCTTCGCCCAGTGTTAGGTATATAACCTTATTTTTTTAGCGTTGATTTTGAACATTAAATGGTATCTTTAATTCTAAGGTGATTATTCTTTGATTACACTCAGTCAACTTACAATGGTATTTAGTAAACACTTACCAAACTTTGTGTGCTAGGAGTGTAGTGATAAGAAGTTAATTTTTCCACCCGTTAAATGGCTCCGGACATGCTAATAATTAAAATTCGACCTCTGTTTCTGTTTGATCATGGAGCTCACATGCCCTGCACCTCAACAAACTGTCTGAAGTATAATTACAAAATTTGACGGCCTAACCAGCAAGAATAAGTTCTGTTAAGGAACTAATCATGGGCTCGACTTTGCGCTGTGCTATGTGTGTGTGTGTGTCCTTCAGGCTCATACCCTCTAAATTTGGTAAATGAATTCAATAATTGTAATCATAAGAGCCTGTTCTAAGGGTCGTTGCCAAATCTGTGTATAACAGAGCCATTCATTTCTGATGTGCCAATTTTCAGCGGTGCAAAGTAATACCACCCATGCACAATAACTATATTATATATACATATTATATCATATATATGTATATCTATATATATATATATATATATATAAAATAAAAAGTTTAAACTTAAATGATTCATACACTTAAAATGACACACGAACACCTAGATAATGCCAACGTTTCGTGTCAGATATACCTTTTCAACTACCGAATTGTATAGGACGTAATTTAACAGAGAAAGGGAATTTAAAGGAAAGTAAAACCTCGACATAGACCGGAAACGGCTAGAAAACGCAGTCAGAGCGTGAATTATACGGTGGACACATTGAAAATTAGAGATGGGCCCGAGATTCCCTCTCCAAAAAGAAACGTCAGGATTGTATCGAAGGTTTGACAAGATCCTTCCTCTTGTGAAGCTGTATATGATATCGCACGTTTGCACTTACCGTTCCCTACCAAATTAATAGCTAAACTTTGTGTCCGTTTTATTTTTTTTTATTAATATAGAAAAATATTTACGCAAAACTTTTGTGATGACAACAAACGCTTCATTTCAAACGAGTACGCACCTGAAATCCAAAGAAGAGGCTCGACATAGCGTAAACGCCAGCGGGAAAGAAGAAAATTAATCCCCTGATCGATTTCGATAAACCAAATGGTTCCAGTTGTAGAGTGAGGGTAGCTTCATTATAGGCGATCAGTATAAATGCATTCACCGTCGTGAGGATATTCAGCACCACACTGGGCTTAAAAGCCTGCCATAGTTACCGATATGCAGGGTACAAAAGTTATATCGTTAACGTTTGTCTCTTTATTTTATATTTTAAGGTAATTGCATTGCATTATAGGGTTTATCTATCTATCTATCTATCTGTCATACTGCTCAACTATTCCTTTATTCCGCTGTTTTCTAACTTCACTTACAAATGCGTAGTATTATTGCAAACTTCTGTAGACGAGTATGAGAAAGCATATTGATGCTTCCGAGTGAATTGAAATTAGACATCTTCGCGAGATTGACCTATCATGTAGTATTGATCGAAATTTGCTTTGCTGTATGATCTTAACATTTACGAACATCTATAAAAGACTCGGTAAACAAAAAATGTCTCCAATATATCATACGTCTGTTGCTACTTACGACCCCGCAATTTATACTTGCTAGCAAACATCACTTCTACAGGAAGTCTATGATCGCACATGCGACTACTATCAACGACGAATGATTCGAGGACAAACCGGAGCTAACGACGTGCTTATGAAGTTATTAAACCCAACAAACAAAAAACTGTTGACTTTTACTAATGTCCTGCAACTATTAGGGTATGGAAAAATCCCGTCAAGACGTAATTATGACGATCAGATTAAATCCTCTTTGAGTGGTTGCCTTTCGCTTCTTTCGTCTCAGTTACCTGGATTTTCATAAATTCTATTGCTATTAAAGATAGGATTAAGACATAAAGGCGCTTATATTCTCACAACTGTTTTCGATATTGATTGGCCAGGGGCTTCAAAAAAAACATTGACATAGGTGTCCCTTGCCGTACCGAAATCATTAGACCAGTTTTTAAATAAACATAATTTTTTTACAAGAACTGAGATTGCTGCAGACGCGCATTCGTACTAACACACCTTAATGTTTATTTTGCGTGATCGCCGAGGCGTCGCAATACATAAAAGCGAGATTGACTGATAAATAGCCAAACGACATTATCATACCGTTTATTATGCAGTGCCTTTTAAAAAGCGACGCTATAAGTTAGCCCAATTAATGTAATGAAAAGATGTAATTTAAAGTTTATTTGTCGAATCAGCTATCTATGGGAGGAGGCAAGTTCTAGGTTTCATGTTTTACCTTACGAAATTTGGCGGATCCATGGTCGTCGGTGGCGGCGGATGATGGCGGAAGTACAACTATAGTGACTAAGGCTAGAGCGATTTCTGCACCTCCGAGGGCAAGAAAAGGCGCGTTAAAGTTGAAAAAGTCGCACATGACGGCCCCGACTGCTGGGCCTACAACCACAGCTACCCCATACACAGTTTCTAAAATCTAATACCAAAATGATCGTTCGTATTCTCGCAATATTCGACTCCAACGCAGGTTTAAAAGACGCTAACTATCAGATGCTTATACGTTAATTATATATAATTGGTTACTTTAAGCCGAATAGACTATAGAGAATTCAGCTTATCGACGTCTAAACGTGCTGGAACTAGTCATGCGATGTGTACTTAATGCCTGACGCAAGAACAGGGCTGTAAAAGTTTTAGAAATCTACAGAGCGCTTCTATTACTGCACAGATTGGGCAGATCTTTTAACTCTCAGGGCAGAAAGAGCATCGTACGCATTTATTGCGCCGTCCCCATGCTTTACTGTTATCTAGGATCGTGAAATCATAGCCTGTTCATGCGTTCTGCGTTTTTAGGTCGAGTGCACGCTGTCAACACTTTTACGTCCTATCACCACCTTCATTCGTCCTCGATTCTGATGGCGATGATAATGGATGGGACAAAAAGACAAAGCTAAGTTTTATGTCGAGGACAAACGCTAATAATAACTGTGATCCAAAACACAAAAGCTTTGGTATGTGACGATTCCAAGCTATCTTACGATTGGGGACCTGTCCGTAAGATACATTACCGTGACCTTCATTTTGTAATTTTTATTGTGAGATTCTCGGTTCGTATCCCATGCATAATCGGCATGGTCTTGTACTTGAAGATCTGTCAATAATATGCTACTGCTACTATAACTAAAAGTACATGATAGATCATAACTGTAGATATTCTTAGTAAAACTTTCATAAATAGTTCACCAGGTACTTTGAGCTAGACGAAAAAATACTAAAAAATAACAATAAAAAAACAAAATCATATCCAACAAGAGCTTATAGCTGTTACGTCCAAACCGTCACGTCAGCTTTTTACTGACCGGAATCATCGCGTAAGTCAGATGGGGAATTTCGACACCGTTGATTATATAAACGAGGACCGAGCCTGTAGTCCCGCCCACAGACTGAATAGCTCGGACCATTATTAGCGACACCAAAAATACTCGCGGATTCAAATTTAGCGTGTTAAGGAAGGCCGGCAGTGTACAGAAGGCCGCATCGACAATCAACGAGACGATTAGTAACGACTTATCGCTCATGATGTTCCACGTAGATATCTTTGTCGCCAGGGGACCCGTGAAGATCTATGGAACACACAAATGACAAGCATAGAAAATTGTATGTTATTACGCTTCTTCACAAACATGGACATCTTTCATGGACACCGCACCCTCATAATGATGGCATCTTCCCATTGGCCAAGCTCGCCGTCATTCGATAAATGACTTAAATCTATCATTATAATCGTACATTAATGTTCTATGAACATAACGAGTGCTTAAATTATCTAGGCAATGGATGGACTGGCTAAGTCTTCCTGAAGATACAGCAGAAGTTATTGTTGCTCAAATTTAAATGGATAGAGTATGTATATAACAGAATAGTACATAACACAACCTAAGTTTTGCGGGATTTCGCTAAAGGGCGCGTTCACCTCTTGGGTGAACTGTGAGCTGCGGAAATTGAATAACTTGGCCTCTCAATGAAAAAAATTGCCAGCCAATAGATAGCTAGTAACCTTCTTAATGGTTGGTGTTTAGCAAAGTGCAGTACTTGTACGGCGTACGTTTGTCGTGCTACGCGTACTTTTTTTGAATCCACAAAACTTATCTACAAAGGTAGGTTATCGGCATCTATTGACAACTGAGCTTTACGATACTAAAATTAGGGATCTTGGTGCGACATTAAAAATCGACTACGTCGCTAAAGAGAGTTGTTGCTTTTGTTGGGCAGGAAAGCTTGGCTCTCTTCGAGACGCTGTTTTCATTGCCTGACCTAAACAGGGCAATAGTACGAACGTACGTGTTAGAGTATCACATATAGACTTTCATAGTCGCGGAGCGCAGGACACATGCTATATGATATTAATAGATATTTTGTTAGCTCGGTTCCAGGCGTTTGCAGTTTGTATGTTTTCCCGCGCTCTGTCAGGTTTTCTGCGTATTAGATCAACAGTAAAATGATTTATTTTATCGGATACAAGGCTTGTCCAACGCAATCTGTTAACGCCTACGTAGTAATGGATAATAGCTCTTGGAACTTTGGTGGAAGGGCCAATATGTTTATTGGCCCTGACCAAAGCTGTAATAGCAGACCGTCGAGCGGCTTGTTTGCGACAGTTACAATGCACACTTTAAGATGCACACCTTGGACTCGACCTATATACGTTAGGATCTTCAATACGTATATAATAAATTGCCCGGTTTCACCATTTAATTAGGATTTCTCGCACATATAAAGCGTCTGAAAACATCTAATAGCAAAATATAAACTAGCCTAAAGCAAGTAGATAGTTCCTTTGGCTGAATCTTTAGTAAGGTCACGCGATAGAACCAGTTTCCAAATCTTTTAACTTTAAAAATTGATTGATATACGCTTGATCAAGTGTGCGCATTTGCACCCCGTAATTCCGTGGATTTTGTTCGTCACAGAAAATTTACTCGCCTTAGTCCCGCTATCAGAGGGGCATATTTCCAAATAGTAATTAGCTGCGCTGTAACATAATAATAACAGGATACTTATTATAATGTTTTAGAAGCGCGGAAGAATAAAGTACTGTTAAATTCAATTTTTTACGCCACCACTGCAGAGCCTATTCACTTCAATATTCAGTAAATATATCATTTCAGTGCCACTGGGCCCATCGTGAACACGTTTATATCGTCGCCATAGTGGTCAGTATAACGCGAGGTTTCGGTTCGACGTCGTATCGGACCATGCTGTATTCTGCACGGTGAGGTAATGTAGTTCGTACACGACACCAGAAGATAATTCATATGTTTAACGGCTAAACAGTAAATTAAGATATGTCGTATCTACAGCGATGACGGTGACGATGTATGTTAAATGGTTCGTCGATACACACTGCTATTTAACTCGTACAGAAGAGGACCTATCCAATTCAACTGAGACCCACTCTGACGAAATGGCGTTAGTCAGCATCGAAAGCTCCATTCGAGTTTCGGGCCGTGAATGTTCTTACGTGAAACTTCTCCTCGTGGCGCGATGCGCTCATGCAGCCTCAATCATTTCGTACATATGCATGCTTCTATGCTTCGTTTAAATGAGAGAATGCCTGGGACTGAAAGCTACAAATATCGTGTTTATATGGGCTCGCCGTCATCGGCGCTATGCCTATCACGGAATACACCATATTATAACATGCATTCGGTTTTCTTGTTCATACGAGAAAGTTAACGTATGCAACAGCATCTTAGGCCTTCCAGGTATCCGGAAGTTTGCAATTCTAGAGTGGGGATCATGCAAGGCAGTGACCGTATCTTTTTAGTTCACGATATTGTGCTAACCTTCGCAGACGTGCTGAGACTCACAAACTTCCTGAGATGAAGACCCGTCACGCCGTTGCGGCCTTCTGTAGTGACGTTATCTACTTGAATTCGCTATATCGACTTCAGTCATTGTGTGTCCTGTTTGATACAGAGTGAAGAAACGGTTCAGCCGATTTTCTCTATCGTTCCTAACACATTGCCTCTACGGTTGTTTCAATATATGACATTTTGAAACGGTGTTTCCTGTCGTGCATATTATTTATCTGAGCCTGAGATGTCATTTCTACTTGCGGAATACCGACAGTGAAGTCGGGCTTGCTTTTCTATTGTGCCTCTGCCAACAAAACCTAATAGTCGTTAACTGCTAAATTCCAATTGTCACAGATTGTGCCAAGCAAAGAACTGTGTTAACGTCGTAACGTTATGAAACTTTAGTGTAAAATTTTGTTTTGTTTATTCGATCTGACATATTGTGTAGTAGCGTTGTAAACTAGTCGTAAACGCTTACAGTATATTGTTGGCCATAACTGATGCGGATACACGTTTCAGCTGCGGCGCCACAAGTCTCCTGGACGCCTGATGGCTTTTACCGCGAAAAAATTCTATCGGATAATATTGAATTTCGCTAACGGGCTCCGATTCATGAATCTTTTGTTTTGCATCTATGAATAACGTTAGACATCCAGCTGACAAGTCAGAAATGATTGTCCTGAAAACTCACACAGCGGTCGGTCAAAAAAGGCTCTATTTTTTCCGACACTCGTTAAGCGGAACGCTTTATATCCGTTGATATTCTGTCATAATTGGCGTCATTATGAGTGCGTATTCGTGTTTAGACATCGCTGATTTCTGTCCGACCGTATTATTTTTGAGGCCGCGATGTTCCGCTGGCCCTCGAGCTCATTTATGGCCAACTTCGCTATACCCCGTCGGAGTAATGAAATGAGCCAACCTAAACGAGAAAACACTCTAACGAGACACGCTGTTGAACCTGGCTCCCGTACTTCAATGCAATGGCATACCGTAAAACGTTAAAAGTTTATGACTGTTTTCATGCATATGCGAAATAAATAAACCTATATTCTTAGGTGCCAGATTTTCTAGCTTGCCTCGCGTAGCCAATGATAGCCAAGTAGCAATGAATTGTTCTGAGTCAAACCATTGTCTTCGCATAAGACAATCTGCAACGCTATCAAACAATCCTATATGATAATAATAATGTTCACGTTTGACGCACGCGCGCGTCGTCAACTAACAGCTTTAGGCTGTTGTATTTGGTGTGGTCCTATTGTATGTATCGGCAAAATGGCGATACTAACCTGTGTTAGTGGATATGTGGCGAGCACGATGCCGTACTCGAGTTTGGAGTTGCCCATTTCAGTATTATATTCGCCAAAAAAAGAAACCAAGTGGGAATACGTTGCACCAAACATAAGAAGCGATGCGCAGATAATAAGGATCACTCGCGCGGAATGGAGCCGGTATCTTCTCTCGGAGCCTATTCCGGCTTCCAGGCTTTCAGATGCGCTCTTCTGACCTACTACCTTCATGCTGCTCACGAATGACTTGCAGGTCTTTGTACACTACTCTGATCGAATTCGTTCTTATATAAGCCTTGGAATGCTTCTTCAGAAATAATTGCTGATATCGCGTGCTACAGACTAGAGCGTCACGGATAGCCTCCAAAATCAGACGCTGTTAATGTCGCCGTAAGTGCTAGTGTTAGAAGTATGTCACTAATAGCTGGTTTGAATCTGGAACATTTAACTAGTATTTAATTACTATCATTGCTAGAAGCATCACAATTCGACAAGCGCCAATTAGCAGTCTGTTTTTTTAACAGTCTGGAGTAGCCAGGGGCCGAGTAGAGTCGAACGAGCGCTCCCGTATTACTACGAAGCTGTAAGATGCCAATCATACGGGAAAGTTGTCGTGTGTCTTGATGGCCTTCAATCATCTACGCACGTAGCGGGCCCCCAACTAACACTCGAAATTTGTCACGTCAAATTCTGTGGAGCGCTTTGCTGTGTCGTTTTTCTGGTGTCGCTGCCTCGTAGGAAATGTCGAATAGAAGTTCAGAAACATCGACCAACAGAAATCACCACACTCGTTTTCACAATATAGAGCTCTTCTAAAGCATCCACCACGCAACTGACTCTACAGACTGTACTCTTAGGGTCTGCCAGCTAGAGAAGATAATGACCACCGAGGGGCATAAAGGCTGTCCTTCTTTTACTCAACCGCCGCGCGGTACATCGTGGTACCGTCGTCACTGCGATGGCCCTTTCTCACCGTTCTATGGAGAGCATATATCGCCAGACCGGTTCGAGATTACACAAAAGGCACTTCAGCAAAAGCAGCGGTCACGTCGAATAATCTGTCGATCGGCATAAAGCCCTGGCTATCGAAATGATGGACGTGATCTGAGTGCACATTTAATGTTAGGGCAGACTCGATCGAAACGGTATTGGGCTCGCCTAAATTCCGCCAGGAAACATAACAACGGGATATAGTCCCTCTTCAAATGATATAGACCAGCAGAGAACTAGTCACAGGTTCACTATTTTTACTTATCGCCACATAGAGGATATGCGTGATCATCCAATTCGCAACGATGTGTTGGAAACAAAGTCGCTTTGCCTCGGAGGTGTTAAGCACACGTTTTAGCCTATTACACACAACTATTCTGATTCACAGGCGACCGATAGACTTTGTGTCGCCCGTATATCCGACAAATGATAAAACCTAAAGTCGGAATAAGCCAGCACGTTCATGCAATGACCAATCAGACTTCTAGACAAGCTTTATCAGCAACTTGGGAGCTGTGCCTTGAGTACGTCGCATGAGACGAGCAGTTGAAAGATTCACGACCCATTTTATCGTTTTTTTTCACTTGCCCGAAAAGGTAGACAAACAGCTAGTTAAGGAGGTTGTTTTTATTTGTATGGGGTCGTCGGCTTTCACTTCGTTCGTTTATTATTCGAATACAAAGAGAAACAAAAAAAAAAAAAAGAAAAACGTATATCTCATTTGTGGGTCGGCTTCATATTTACCTATCTCAGTTAGTTTAGAAAGATGAATTAACAAGAGATCAACAAAAGATTGCGAAGGTGGCATTTCGATCAAAAAGGGATAAAGTTGAGAACTTATCGTCGGGTTTCTGCATTAACTAAGGCGCTATAGAATATTAGAAACAGCGCGAGATAATTAAAAATGCCGCTACAAAAAAAACATTTGGAGATCATTGTTAAATAGAAGCGAAAGTATATAGGTATTTTCGGCCACTTCTTTGTAGTCTGAGCTGAGATCTTATTAGATATGATTGTGCTCGCGTTAGTGTGCCCTAAAGAGCGGTAGAACTTATCTCCCACGAGGCTCATGAGTGCTCATGTTAGTGTGCCCTAATGAACGGTAGAACTTATCTCCCACGAGGCTCATGAGTGCTCATATCACAGTACGACTGTATGTACTTACGTTTGTGTGCAGCTTTTGGTAATAAATACATCTATTTTGTATTAATGATTATAAACGGTCAGTCTTGTTTTTAGGGAGTCGTCCTTCTACAGTATGCATGCAAGATTCCAACTTCGTAGGGCACGGTTTTATCTTTCTAAGCTGAAACCTTGTTTATAATTTTTTTGTTAGAATCATTGTGCTGCCTAAGGACCAGTAAGTTGGTCAACAAAGTTGCGCAACGGACCACTTAGAAATTGCCAAAGAACAGACGTCAACCATCCAAGTGAAATGATACTATGTATTCCTTGTTTACGGAGAAAAAGCCAGTCATCCCGCTACTGCTTATATAAGCCAAACTGAAGACTCTGTGGACATAGCCATGCGTGAATATACGTTCCGCTCAATAGAATAGCTTGAACAGCCTTCGTACTTAACTTCGGTATAACGTTAAGTGAACTATTAACGCATTCCGGAACAAACACTATCAAAAAAACCGTCTATGTGCCTATCACTTATTGCTAATGAACAAAAACAACTAATTGGATTTCAGGAGACAGTGTTACAATGACGATTTCGATAACCACTTCAATATTGATATTCCAGGATTTCCAAGGACGAATGAGTGGTAAGACGTGGCTAATCCTGTTTCAAGCAAAATTAGAGGTCAGGGAACAGGAGCAGGAATCAAATGGCAGTTTTGTTAGGTCATCATTGTAGATTGAATTTCGTATCCAAATAAACGCAACCCATCGGTTTTTCTTTTTGTTAACGTTAGTTATTTATTTGTTATTCCATACGACACAATGTTTATCCTTTTTTTAAACCAGTGCAAATAAATCCTGTGATTCGTACAAGCTATGATCATCTAGATAAGTTATATACAAGCGTAACTCTAAACCCCGTTATCTCATTACGATCGAAGAGGAAAATAATTGGCAAAATTAGAATAATCAGTCGGCGATAGTTTTTTTTTTTCGTTTTTATTGTAGCTAGATTGGTGAAACGACGCGTATAAAATATTTTTTCTATTTCTTTTAAACAGATATTACAAAATGCTAGGTAAATTTTCAAGGATGAGAAGTAAGACAGTGTCTATCTACGATTTCTATGCGAGTACTACCCAGCATAACGAGCTCAGCGGCAAGTCCTCTCGTTGATGAGAGAGACGTCGTGCCACTTGAGTTAACGAGTTTACTTAAATATAAATGTAAGTTAAGAAAAAATAGATCAATGTAAATAAAACTTGATACATAAGTGATGGAATAAGAAATTAAATTTAGCCTAGCCTGAAAATTCCCGATACTCCAGTTCCGTAGCTGAAACGTGAAATGACAGATGCATGTACGAAAATCGCTTATTCGGTAAAAGGGCAAAATTGTTGTTTCTCGTCGGCTAATAGTTGGAATACCTTCGCCATACCTGCGTGTTGGAGGCACGCGACAGTTGATCTCATGTCACCATGACGTCGGTAAGTGCCATCCATTATCAAAACCTAGTGGACCCTTAGAAAAGCGGTACCATTCATGTTGCGAGCTCATTATTAAGAAGTAATAAAAAAAGCTTTAATGATATCACACAGTTGACGCACAATAGAAAAATTATTACTGTTACTTTATCCGCAAGTACTTATAGACACAGGCAGATACGAACAAGCCATAAAAGCTGGAACAGTTTATATTCGCGTCTGTATCCTTTCCTTCCTATAGGGAATATATACCACAAGTGAATCAACTCTGATATTGATTTAGACGCTCTCAATCGATTCAATTTCAGAGAGCACTTTTAAGAGAAGGATCTGGGGCGTTGGTTTCTTTGTCTGTTTTTTTATTTTCACTTGTTATTGTACAAGGTACGTATCAAGGATAACACACTTACTTCTCTACATCTGCTCCCTATTGATACCTGCCGTTGATACTGATCTTTCGAAATGTTTTACGAAGCAGTACATACATACATACACACACACATATATATATATATATATATATATAAATAAATGATCCAAGTTTTGTATTGTACAGTGCGAGACCGCGCCCACATCCGGGCATGCCCTTAATTACGACTACTATTTATATTCACCTTAATAAGTGTATAAATACTTGAACGGCCCGAGAATTCAGGGATTTAAAAATGAGCGATGTTCGAGTCTAAGCCTAGACGGCTTGTCCTACACTGGTAGCCAATCGTATAAATCAAAATTTAAATAACGTATTTAATATTGAGCGTCTTCACAAAGATATTTCTAACGACAACAAAATCAACTTGTCGCTACGCTTCACCCGAAGCTCTATTGCGAAGATACCATGTTCAACTGAAACAATCGAAGACTTTGAACGTCAGCAATTTCTTCCACAACTGTTACATAACAGTGTAGCAAGAATTCGATATTATCGAATAAGGGGGATCTGGGGCGCCATTTTGCACAGTAGAATTATAAACAAAAAAAAAACATGGATGACGTTACTGCTAGTTCATTGAAGCTGGTGCTATTCTTATGATGAACGAGTGTGACTGATTGCCTTAATGGAAGTCGTCATTCTTGTCTACCCTTGCTGCCGCGGTGAGTCTTAGGCAGGTTTATGGGTTTGCTCGAAAGGGCAAAGAATAAATGTCAGCGGGCATTTTTTTGCGACCTTAGACAGGATTAATGGTTATCTCTACCGACAATACGCACTTGAGCATCCATAAGTAACAGCAACTGTAGCAACTAAAAAGTATAATATCCTCAAATTAATATGCCATCGTTGATTTCTTAGAGTACGACCACATCGTATTCAACAGGCTATTTATTATATAGTGGGTTTTTTAAGGCTTAATCAACCTAACGAAGATAATCGCACGTATTTTGCTTATAACAAATAACACATTTGCTTGTTAATAAATACGTAATGAAAAACTAATAAAAACGACGAACGAAAATACATGTGTATGTCTTATATACATATCTGTATATTGTACGTGATATCTAAATGCGGAATACACCGTACCTGTAGGATTGTGTATTTAGTCTGTTTGTACCTTAAATAAAAAAAATAGTTTTAAAACGCCGCCTTCTTGTATCTGTAAAAACGTTTTGGTAGCACAGCTAGAACAACTAATGTAATAACAGGCAGCTCGTCATGGTTCATTCCAAGGGTCATCTTAATAGGGTTTACATACGTGCAAAGTTCAACGTAATAATACATTTGTCGTTTTACAACGCTGGGTGACCCGTCCGTGAAGCAGTAAAACACCGTATCAGCAACGTTGATTGATTATGTGCAAGATAAATTATTCGTCTGTTAGCCCTTGTAAATATTAAGTCAGAATGAAGACTCCTGCACCTCTTCACAAATTAGGAACGATTACATTAGTTCTTCCCTTTTTATGTTCTCTTTCCACCGTAGCTATTCATGACTTTCTTCTAGCCCTCCACCAGATGATGTACATCGTCTCACCGGATGATAGCTATAATCTAGTCAAGTCTAGCGCAGCGTCTATGAGATTTTGACTCTATTTATAAATAATCAACGAGAGAAGATGATTTGGGAAACTGGATAAGAAATTTTGAACGTTTCGATTGTTCCGTTGTCTAGGTAGGGAAGGCAACAAAATCTCGGCAATAAATCTGGCTCCCCTCAACCGTTCCGGCTTCCGGCCCAACCCAGGTCTGAGTCAGTGACTTTCTCTAATGATAAATTTATTTATACTAGCCCGTCGCGTAGATACTTTCGATCAGCACACACATGGTAATTTTCACTACTGGATACAAAAGACA